CAGAACGGTTCGTTGAACGAAGTTGTTGCGGGTGCGCGACGATCGTTTGTGACAACTCATGTACCAGTTTCCTGTTAGCTCACTAATAACCTCATTTGGCATTGTACATTGTACTACTCTTATAGCCAGGGTCCAATTTGATAAATCGTTCTATGAATTATGGGTATTGTTAGGGGTAATCAATAAAAATCAAGTTCAATTTTTATATATGTATATGCACCTTTATGTGTGCGCTTATATAGTCAAAGCTTTTTAAATTTATGTTAAAATTCTTGTTCATTTCTTTGAGCCTGGCTAGGCTTTTGTGATTGCACAAACTAGATTAGAACTTTTGTAATCCACTATACTTAAGTTCTAAATACCAGTCAAATTTTGGTTTTTGTAATCTTTTGGACTGGTACAATATTAGTATACCAGATGGTTTACCAAATGCCAGCCTATACCACTTGGTATTGTTGAATAAAATGATAAATAACAAAGTGAACAGTATCATACCAGTATCAGCCATATGATCTGATACAGATGCTTGGTTAGGCTGGTAATATTGGTTGGTACATAGAAGACTTCTGTAAAAATTTTAGTTGCCAATTGTCTTATCAGTTAATTTCATGCCTCAGTTATGATGTTAGCCAAATGAATTTTCCTCGTCTTATGCCATATTTAAAATTACTTCCAATAAGTTATTAATAATTGCCAGTGACAGACAGTTCCCTTTTTGCATATATAGTTATACATGGAATTATGGGACTGCTTTCATGGTTATACATGTTCTGTTTCAGACACTAGTTGGTTTTGCAAGCTAAGTGGTGTATAAGTACTGTTGTGCTACCTGCTGTACAACTTTAAGTAGGTAGCTTCCTTTTCTGTTTTGGGAAATGAAAATAAGATTATACGCTATAGAATAAAGAAAATTGATAGGTTTAGCCAATGAGGATTTCTTTCCTTCAGGTGTTATTCTCCAAATAACAAAATATGTTCCAGAGTGTTGTGTGACTGCCTTCTCTGTGAATCTTTATATCCTATTCTGATATCTAGATTTGGCACTTGGGGAATCTACTTTCTTTTCTTCATTAGATAATTTGATCGGTTGTTATTGATTGACTCAAGGATTTCAATTTCAGTCTGATGCCAGTTTTGATAATCTACTGGAGCTGTATAGTATCAGTATACTGATCCATATTGCCTTGTAACAGTTGAATAAATATTATCACGATTGGTACCAGACCATTTGGTATGACACCAATCTTTGCTCAAAATGGTAAATGTCACCAACCGGTATTTGAAACAATGGATTGACTCATATAAGTGAGTGGATTCTTTTCTTCCTTATGATCTTATACGACAACCATAACAACCATAATCCCTTGTGTCATGACTACTTCCTTATGATCTTAATGATATAATCAAATTGATCAAAAAGCCTGAAACGTGGAAATGACTCCAACCTGGTTTTTGAAACTGATTTCTGAAAGTACTTTCTAAAAGTTAAAAGTTAATATGTTTTTTGGTAGTCATAATTTGCATTGTGTATCTTCTTTGTCCTATTTTAACTCTCCCGCATTTGGTTTTGCATGAGATTGCTGTAAATGTGGCACCCTTCTGTTAGTCACATTATTTATTTGCTTGGTTATCCATTTAAGTAAACAATCTGACTGGTTTGCTCTTCAAACGCTTATCATAAAAGTTTCTTGGATGCTATATTCTGTTACATTTTACTTCAAAAATCGTGTTGTCTGTGTAGCACTTAGTTGTGAATGTGTTGGCTAACTATTTTATGTTGGTTTTCCAACTATTATCTTCTGGGTATTAGATTTTTCAGTGGGAGAATACCATTATTCCTTTCAGTGTTGTGTAACTATTTTTGTTGCTTATTTATTTTAAACTTCTTTCCGTTTCCATTCTCTTTGACAAGTAGTTGAAATTGGAATTGCCATCAATACATGGACTGAATTTATACTTGCAACATCTTTGAGTTCTGTCTTGAGTGCCATTCGCTTGCTGCTCAGGCTAATATAAACATCAAATATTTGGATTCCTCAAATTTTCCATGAGAACTTATCTTTGCTTTGGGTAAGTTCATAGTCATACTTGTAACGGTAAACTGTGAGAATTTTCTGGTGTTTTATATTGTTTCAGATGGGCACAACTGATGCTATTCTGGATCTTGTGAGCAGTGGAACAACATTACGAGAAAACAACTTGAAAGAAATCGAAGGTGGTGTTGTTTTAGAAAGCCAAGTACGTGCTGACCTTTTAATATCACTTAGTGCTATTACCTATGGAATTAAAAAAGATTAGTTTATTTTCTTTTAATCCGCTTCTGTTACGTTGGCTGTTCTGCAGGCTGTGCTTGTTGCAAGCAGGAGATCCTTAAACATGCGCAAGGGTGCATTGGAAATTACTCATGAGATACTTGAAAGGCTCGAGGCACATTTAAGGGCAATTGGGGTAGTAACGGTACGGCGAACAGGTTTTTGGTTGTCGTGATCATCTTCTTGTTTTCTTTTGTTTATTTGTGTTTCCATGATATAATGCAAGGTCGTCGCAAATATGAGGGGCAATAGTGCAGAAGAAGTGGCTGAGAGAGTTCTAAGTCAACCATCATTATCTGGCTTGCAGGTAAATGGTACACTAAACCAAGTCCAGTTATTAATATAATTCCTGATGCCCATATCCTAGGGACCTCTACTGCTGCCTTACCACTGCCTTGTCACACATCTGTGCATCATTACTGCTGCTGAAAGAGAGAGGGATTCCTGTGTTTTCTTGGGTTTGAAATCCTCTAGATCATCTCCAAATAGAAGGAAAACTACAGTTCTCACAAATGCCCCATCCAGTAATGAGGAGAAAAAACAGATGAAAAGAGTGCAACATAGTTTGCTGTAACAGTTTCAGATTGGTTACAGATGATATGACTTGGTACAATATTCTCTAGCCAATTTAACTTTTTGATGCTTAGGGGGATGAATAGGGCAAAATTGAATAGGGCAAAATTCGTATTTTCCCTACGAATTGTTATCTATAGCTTAACCTAACCTACTAAGTTGATTTCAGTAGGCTCTCCAAATTATGACTATAGGTCTCCATTGTATCCTTGTTGAGCTTTGGCTGTAAACAATGTTTTAAACAAAACCCATATGGTGTTGTGAGTTGAGCAGTCTAGCAACCTTATCTCGTGCTATATCTCTTGGGATCACCAGAAACAAAGCAAGATACTTGATTTGATACTGATACTAGTTGGTTGGATAGGTATGGTATTGGTTTTTAGTATACCATGTGCCAGTGTAGATTATGTGTGGGCATTGATGGGACCAGCTGGTATCATATTTGGACCTGTCCTTTCCCTTTTTGATGCGTGTTTGATCCCAACTTTTTAATATATTTTCATGACCTTTATGAACTGTGTCATGTAAAAATAGAAGTAAAACATCATACTGGACTGGTCTTTTGAAGGTTTTCACCTTCAATGCATATTTGACCCCCGTTGTTCTAAATTTTTTTATCTATCATTTATTGTATCATGAAAACAAGGAAACTAAAACTTCCAAAAACATAAAATTAATTTCCATACAAGTTTAATTATTCATGCGAGGTTAAGATATTTTTGAGATTCATAAGTTTATAACGTACATACTTGAGTATATGATACATTTTTTGTAGGCTCCTAATACCAAAATGAATGATATTGCTTCCCTAGTTAAATGATATTAGTAGATTTTGTGGTACATGTTGGCATTATTATAGTAACTTGATCACTGGATAACGGCCCTATATATTACAGACTTGATATGCTTCTCCATCTGATAAAGATGGGAGAGGGGCAATGGTTCCATCTGCAATTGAGCACCAACACTGCTATCACTTTGCTTCTCTAGTGGGCAATACGAGGCCTCCGCACTCTTAGCTAGGCTCCCTTCCTCTCATAAATTTTCATAGACTTGAAGCTATGATCTTTCATCCTAGGTACACCAGTAAATCTCTGCTCCATGTGCCACCTACCTCTCTTAGGTTGTGGCAATGCGGGCACTAGCCATCATGATTGATTCTATTGACATCACTATCGTCGGCTTTACAAAAAGTGATATTTCTTAATATGCTTGCAATTTGTGGTTTTCTTTTCTTTTTGGCAATTTATTGGAAGTATTGTCATTGATGGATTTTGTTGCTCTTAAGTTGCTTCTGTTGATTTTAAACTTATATTGACTCATTGAAACAGGGGCCTACTGTAAGTCCGGTGTTTCGCAGTCGTGATGGCAAGGTCGTATTAGACTTTTTTGCGATTGTCATATGTGTTCCCCAAAAGGAACTTTACAAGTCTGTTCAGCAACTGAGATCAGTGAGATGCCTTCCAAAACATGGATTCTATTTATACATCTATTTGTGCTATCTTGTCTACTTGGATTGTCAGAACCTATTCGAAAAACTCTTTCATTTAATCTATTCAACAACCATAAAGCGATATCTAGCTTTTTGTTGATTACTGCATGCTTCCAAGATTATTCATCTCAACCTCTTCGTCTACTGCAGATCGGTGGCAGCGGGGTCTTGGTTTCTGACCTGACTTATATTTTCGAGGAAGAGACCCCAAGATGGCGCAGGCTTCTTTCTGAGCTTGGATTATAATCCTCGTCATCAAGCACTTTGCAGTGTTATCTATTTCATAGCAACAAACTAGGATTTGAGCGTCAAATGGAGTCCATTTATTTAGTTCATGTATAATACTCGGACACCAAAGTTAAACCTTTCTGATTATGTTGATGAAACTTTTCATGGACAACTGGAGAACACGGGTTGTGCATAAGCATTGTGGAATGTGGTGCATAAGCATTGTGGAATGTGTCGACAACACGGGTCGTGCATAAGCATTGTGGAATGTGTCGACATATCGAGACATGCAGCTTTTCTTAGAGCTCATGATGGAAATTTCACTGTAATAAATTAGTAGCATTCGATTTTTTTTATCGTTTGACCTTTCTTGTTGGCTTGTTTGATGGATGCTGGTTAATGTTGGTAGATTGAATGGCCACTGTGCTTGACATTTCTCATTTCAATACAACATATAATTTATGCACAATTATTCGTCAATCAAATGGTAGGTTTTTGGCTCAAAAACAACAGTAGAACCAATGGAATAACATAAGCATTTTTCAAGGACTATAATATCCTCGTCCCTTACAAAGCAAATCTTTTATTCAAGGACTCATAAACTCTAGAACAAAAATGTTTATTCGATCGCCACATTTCTCCCCTCTCCATTATGCTGAAGAAATTGGGAATACCACTCGCCCGAACTCCTATAATATCTCGTCCTGTTTTTCGTCGTAAAATCGACTCCAACTAGTCCATAACGAGATGTATAACCCATTGTTAGCTCATAGCAATCGATGAACGACCACGCAAAGTATCCTTTTACGTTCGATCCATTCCTGAAACATTATATTTCCATAAACCAATCATTAAAAGAGTTAATATGTAATATTACAGAGAATTATTAAGACTCACAAACTATATTTATGTCATTCACATAATACACACTAATTCACATACAAAGAGTATTTCCACATCATGTGTGATATGGCTTGTGATTTAATGGCTAAGGTGTAGTTATACTTGCACAAGATTCAAGTACCTTATGGACGGAAGCAAGCTTTCTATGTACTGTTGAATGAAGTTTGTTCTACGGTCGTCGTCCTGTTCATGTTGTCCGTTTGCAGGGTCGACGTTGAACTCCGGATACCCTAAGGAAAACCACAGCACAGTTCATGTAATCTGCAGCAAGATCTGAAACAAGTGTAAGCTTCGACAAAGGTACCATTCTCGTGGATCAGGACCGGTGGATTTCCGTATGTTACTTTCATGTACTCGAGTAGCTTTTGCAGAGCCCATGGAGTTGCAGGGAACGTAGGTGCGTCGTCCGACACAAAATCCTGACGCGAGTTTTGGTTCCCGTCGGAAGAAGTTCTTACCGTTTGCTTAAGAATCGGCAGAGTTTGGGGGGGCACCTTCGTGAGTATGATGTTTGGCACTGCATCGGTAGCTGATGAAATGAGTTGAGTTGCAAGAACATCTACAGTGATGCATGAGTTGAATCGGATGTAACCAAATCATTCTCTTACTTGCAAATTTCACCGACATGTCGGTGTAGTATTCTCTGCCGCTCTCGTCGGGATCATAGGTAGCTGCTTCCAGAAAGACTGCAGTATAGTGATTCAGTCCGATGAAGTCGAACGATCCTCTCAGCATCTTTGATTCTTCTGGTTCGAAGGACGGTAGACGAGATCCGACGAACTCTCTCATGACAGAAGGGTAGGTTCCGTACACAAGAGGATCCACGAACCAGCCGATTTGGAAATCCAGGGCTCTCTTCGCGGCTGCTATGTCCTCTGCCAAGTCCGTGAAGGGCTCGTACCAGAGGGCAAGCAGTGTGATCCCGATGTAACCTCCTTGTTTCACCTGTTCCACGAGATCCATGTCAAGCTGACGGGAGTGGAGCGAGAGGAGGAAGAAAGATCGAACCTGGTACTTCTCTTTGTACAGAGCGGCTGCTGATGCATGCGAGAGCAGAAGGTTATGTGCGGCGATGTATGGCTCACTGGAGGAGTTGCCCTTGGTGCAGTTGAGGCCGAAGGGATAAGAGCAGCGGCCAGGCGCGAAGATGCCGAAATCGTGGCCGAGGACGGGATCTATGTTGGGTTCATTGACGGTGATCCAGTGCTTGACTCGATCCCCAAACTCGCTGAAGCACACGTTGGCGTAAGCGGTGAAGTCCTCTCTGCATCGAGACGGAAGCCATCAAACCCACCGTATGCTGCCGTGAAGAACAATCCGAGAGAGAGAGAAGGTTACACGATCTTTGGGCTCAGCTGCCCGGCGTACTCGTCTTCCAGTGCTTGCGGAAGGTCGAAGTGGTAAAGAGTGACATGAGGCTCGATTCCTGCACCAATTCTTCGGCATTCATTTCCCCCTCCCAACGCTAAGAAGAAGCTTCACTACAAATCAAGCATACCATATCTTTTGAGCTCATCGATCAGGTTGTTGTAGTACCGCAAGCCTTGTGGATTCACAGGCCCTCGACCATCTGCAACAAGCATATATTAGACGGAAATCACCGCAACAAATGTCTGGCATACATCATCTGTGGCAGTGTTGTTTTGTTTACTGGGGATAACTCTGGACCAGGAGATGGAGAATCTGTAAGCATCGAAGCCCATCTCATGCATCAGCTTCACATCTTCCTGCCAACAAATGAGACCAAAACAACATCATCCTCTTCTTTCCTCTCGTCTACCGAGAGCAGAGTGTCGTGCAACAGTGATGACAAGCCTCACCTTGTACTTGTGATACTGATCAGCCGCTACGTCTCCGGTGCTCTGGTCGAAAGTTCTCCCTGTCATCGACAACCCACATTAATTACTTCTTCCAACAGTAGATTACGATATGTGCTTGTTGTATGTAGCGGCAATGGCGGAGGGAGCAACTACTAAACCTGCATGCGTAAACGTGTCCCAAATGCTGGGTGTTCTTCCCCCCTCTGCAGCTGCACCTTCTACCTGCATCAAAGCTACAACAGTTAATTTACGATCGATTGCAAAACCATCAAAGCTTCCTCTCTCGATTCATGTGATTGGATCTATTACCAATCGTTCATACCTAGGATTTTCGGAATTAATCTATAAACTTTTATGATCTGCTTCGAACAGTATGACTGTTGGATAAGTTCTTTTATGATCTGCTTCTTGCGAGTGAATTATATGCTCTGTCTGTAACTTCGAACAGAATTTTCATTCATATTCTTACTAATCTTTTTCCAGCAGTAAGAGAAATCGTATGTAAAAAAATGTATGCATATTTCCTTTGCTCGAAGGGGAAAGAAAGAAATATAAAGAAAAGAGTTACCACCTGATAAGCGGAGGTGCCTGCGCCAAAAATGAAGCCGGCGGGGAAATCGTCTCTGCTGAGTGCCTTCACACGAACAGCCACCGCCAAAGCAGAGAGCAACAGCAGCCGCCGCTGCAACAGAGCCCGCCAGCTCCCCATCTCCGCCACGCCACCTTCCGGCGCTGTATTATGTGGCCGAAGGCAGGCCTTCGTCTGCTCACTTATAGACGCACAAAGGCCCGAGCGAGCTGTGGATGATGGATGACGACGCACGGTCGTGGTGTCAATACTTGTGTGGTGGTCGAAGGGGCGACATTCGTGTGGTTTGTTGAAGATAGAAACGAGGAATGGATACAAAGTTCCTTGTCAGCGAGCGAGAGGCGTCGTGAACCCGACAGCAGAGAGGCTAACGAGGACCGTCGATGCGAGCTCTGCAGGCGTATTCGTCGAGACGGCAGGTGGGGGTCTCTCTTCCGTTTCGTGATGCTCGTCTCGGTGCGCGTTCACGTTTGTGGAGATCGGCATCTGCCTCGCGTCATCCCGTCTAATTACATATTATCTTATATAATTATATAATTAATTATTTTTAATATTTAATATTTATATTTTAAAAAAAATATATTAATATTTTTTATATTTATAAAAATTAAATATTAAGATTCTTATATAGGATTAAAAAGATAATTTTATAAAATAAAATTAAAAATAAAAAAAATTATTAAACAACCGTTTTACTTTGATAAATATATGAATTTCAATACAACTTTTAAAAATATAGAGATTAAAATACTAAATATGATTAATTACAGGAGATAATATATAATTAATTCGTAATAATTTAATCAATATTTTCTCAAACCGTGGATTATAAATTAACATAAATATTTATTTAATCAATATCAGTGAATCTAACAATATCTGTACGATGCTTAAGTTAGAATATAAATATAATAATTATTTATATTGAGTATATATTCATAAAAAAAAAATTGCTCGTATTTAGTGAATAATTATTTTAATCGTTGGGTGTCATCAAATGATCGTGAGAGTTTGATTAGGTATTGCAAAAGACAAGACAAAAACAAATTGAAAATGGAATGGTGTGGCCACAAAAGTCAGACGGATTGAATGGCCTCATCGCTACAATTTCAACAGTTTTAAGGTTCTTAAATGGGACTGTACACTTAAATATCCCTAACGTAGACGAGTGGCAATGACTTGGTGACAACCTTCCGGAATAGCCAATGCAATCCGGCAGCGGCCACAACACGTTGCTCGACGAAGTGGAGTCGCCATGGCACGCTGCAGTCGTGTCTTTAGACCGAAGAGAGTTAAAGAGATGGGGCGAGAGAGACGTAAATAAAAAGTGGTTTGTCTGTGAACGAAGAAGAGATGGGTGAGAGAGAGACGTAAAGAAAAAGTGGTCTGTCTGCGAACCAGCAAGTCGTATCGGTGGATAGAGACGGCTGAGAAAAGTTGCTTTTGCTTTTCCGGTGAACTCATCGAACACGTATCGATCGACGCTTTCAAGTTAGGCTGCTCGCTGATGGTTTGCGTTTGTCCTCATTCACTTCTTCTTGATACGGAAAGAATGCGAATTGGTGACGGAGATATCGGCGTGACGTCTAAATCAGTGTAATTTGGTTAGAATACGTATGTGTATGTGTAAAAGACTCCCAATTAGAGTTGAGGAGGACTTTGTTGTCGGATCGGGTCGGGTTTCTGATGTGATTTTTTCTCGATACTCTAATTAGTCGGAAAATGAAATATAAGAATTTCAAGTGAAACATGATATGATTGGATTTTTATAATTAATTTAATTGGAAAAATATTTCATGATATAGACTAAATATTTATTTTAAATTTTATATTGGGTCGGGTTTACGTAACTCACTTATTGATTAAGTCCTCAATCATTTTGGTTTTGACTTAATTATTATCGTATGTATGTCGAGTCACGTATCATCAATTTATTATTATTATTATTATTATTATTATATAATTTTTATTATTGTTTGAGCTCCGGCCCATCATGGCCCAACCCCTCTCTCAAGTCCAAAACCCAAAACCCTAGACCGCATCTGCTTCTGCGAACACCACCAACGGCGACGCCAGCTTTCCCGTAAGCCCCATCTCCTTCGTCGAACACCACCGACGCCGACGCTCGGTTTCCCCCCATGTGGAGGAGATCCCCAATCCACCTCCGCCAATCCTTCGTCGCTCGCTCTTTCTCACAGTCCACCTCGATCCCTAAGAATCTGCAGCGCGTCCGCGACCACGGCTTCGACAACGTCATGGAGGTGGAGAAGAAGATACGCCGCGCCCTCCACCTCCAGTCCTACCTCCTCTCCCAGCCCTCCGGTTCCCTCCCCGTCTCCCAACTCGACGTTGTCGCCCGCCGCTACCACGCCTTCGGCCCCCACGAAACGGGTAATTTCCTCCTCAAGCACCCCCACGTCTTCCACGTGTTCGACCACCCGGTCCAGCGCCGTCTCTGGGTCCGCCTCACCCCCCGCGCCGCCCTCCGCCTCCGCCAGGAGTCCGACGCCGTCCGCTCCATGCTCCCTGACGCCGTCCGCCGCCTCCGCAAGCTCCTCCTCCTCGCTGCCCGCTCCCGCCGCCTCCGCCTCGAGCACATCCGCCTCGTCCGCCACGACCTTGGCCTCCCAGATGACTTTTTGCAGTCCGTCGTCCTCGCCAATCCCTCCTTCTTTCGCCTCGTCGTCTCCTCTGACTTCCCCGACGACCCCCGGGCTAAATATGTTGAGTTCGTTGACGAACCTGACGACGGCAATGACTTGGCGGAGTTCACCATGTGTGCCATTGAACGCACCCGCGAGCTCCAGTACCGTGAGCGCGGCGCTGACGCCGAGGACTCCCGCTTTGCCTTCCTCATCAATTTCCCTCCGGGATTCAAGATCGGCAAGTACTATAGGATCGCGGTGTGGAAGTGGCAGCGGCTGCCCTACTGGTCTCCTTATGAGGATGTGTCCGGCTATGATCTCCGGTCGCTCGAAGCACAACGGCGGATGGAGAAACGAATGGTGGCAACAATACACGAGTTGCTGTCTTTGACGGTGGAGAAGAGGATGACGATGGAGCGGATTGCACAATTCCGGCAGGCAATGGGGCTGCCGAAAAAGCTTAAGGCGTTCTTGCTGCAGCACCAGGGAATATTCTATTTTTCGACGAGGGGGAATCGTGGAAAACTGCATACAGTGTTCTTGAGGGAGGCATATCGCAAGGGGGAGCTTGTGGAGCCAAATGAGTTATATCTAGCAAGGAGAAAGCTAGGTGAACTGTTGTTGCTTAGTCCTAAGAAGGCAAATTTGGATAGGATGCTGACTAGTCTTGGGAGGGGCATGGATGCGTTCAGTGGAGGGAGTGGTGCTAAGAGTAAGCTAATTGGCGATGAGGGTGAACAGAGAAGTGAAAACGAGGACAGTGGTTCTGATTCTGGTGTTGAATCTCAGTTTGTTGATTGACAAAATTGAAGTTGACCCAGTTCTAAGGATTATCAATCCAATTATCATTAAGTATTAATTTAATCTTTGAAGGTACTCACTGGATGTCTGGATCGGAGCTTAACTGTCTTATTAAACATTGATATGATCGTCACTTGCAAATACCTTAGGTAGATGGCAAAATAAATTCAGTTTTGATCTGAATATCAAATTATTTACTTCAATTTGTCATAGAAAAGAGTTGAAGTTGGAGGAGCATAAGATCATGTCCATGCTGGAAAGACAGGAGATATGTTCCACAGGATGCTTGGTTTTGCATGAACTTTGACTTTAAGAGATTGCCACGGAATGATGGAATCATGTGAGTTGTTCAAATTGCTGCTCATTCCAGATGAAGGAGCTGCATCACCTTGAGGTGCTTTTTTGGACAGAGTTCCTAATCCATCTAACAGTGATTTATAATCTATTTATGTGCTAAAAAGTGCTCTTGTAAGTTTGCTGAAACAATTGCTACTTTGAATCTCATTAATTACTTTGATTAGTTCAACTCTCATGCTTCCTTGAATACATACAATAAATGATTCTTCTCTATTGTTGCCATAAATTACTGAGATAAGTGATTTCATCTTGGATTATCTCTGTGTTCTCTGTATATGTTTTGCTGTGGATTGTCTTAGCTAAGTTTTAATTTTTTGCTGTTTACCAGTTTCTACTGATTGTTTCACTTCACAATAAGCGATTTATTACCCTAACAACAAATGCTTGTGAGACTTGGAACACTAATTATTTCATTGTGGCTCTTTCCCTTTTTTCTACTCACGTACATTGATTATTTTTAACTACCAAGTGATGCAGTTCATGCATTAATGTTATCTGTAACTTCATTTTTTTTAAAAAATTTAAGTCTAGGATTGATTATGTTAACTTATCTGTTTGCTTATGGTAATTTATTTCTTTATTTTATAGAATTTTTTAATTGGAATTCTTCCATTGTTTAGCTGCATTTTTTGGAGGCCTAAAGGCTTGTTTGGTTGCTTTTTAAGTGATTGATGTCAGAAAAACTAATTTCTGAGGTGGCAGTTCTGAAAAGTGACTTTGAGGTATTGGCTTCTTGGTTTTTCACAAAAAAGGCTATGATAAACATATATATTTTTTATCACCTCAGTTGTATGTTTGCTTCCATTGTTAAGTAGTTATTTATGACTGATCAGCTGCTGGTCTATGATGGGGTGAGAAATGCTCTATCTTTGGCAGTCTACCAATCTATGAACAATGGTGGATCGTCAGTTGATTGGCTGGCAGCAAGCCTCAGCCAGTTGGTTGTTTGTACATATCTTCTATTAGTTTATATTGGACTAAAAGTTCACATACATTTCTCCCCTTGTCATCAGGGAGCAACATCTGATGAGGAATTCTGCAAACCTTCCCAATTTCAGTATCAAACAGTTGACAAATCCGGAGACTTGGTAATGGAACAAAAGAACCTTAGATGGAACAATGACCAAGTGTGGCAGTTCTCCACCAGTTGGACATGTTTCTGTTGAAGATGCAGTAAGCTTTTACTTTCATTCTTTACTGCTGTTTATATCTTATGAACATTTTTCTTAAATTATCTTTCTCTTATCTGTCTTCGACTTGGGTATAATTGATGGACCTTCCTTGCCTATTTACATTTTGTAAAACAGGTGAACAAATGATGTGACTTAGGTGGTTATTCAAGTGTATTATCACAAATTTTCATGGATACTTTTTGTCTCATAATGTGGAGGATTTCAGGTTATTGTAACGTGCTTTTTCATCCACTCACAGGAAATGACCATGATGCAGTAGCACACTTCACTTGTTCTTTCCTGTCAAACATTACATGTAATTTTCTTGCAATTACATCTTGGTAGAACTTTAATCGCTGGCATTGGCTGTGATTTCATGAGTCAGACCGACCATTATCAATCCTTAAAGTCTTCTTGAAGCAGCACTTACCTCTTTATTCTACTCTGTTGCTAAGGTGCTTATGGGAACAAATAATATTTGCGGATTACCTGTGAAATCTACTCAGGATAATACTGTTGAACAATTACCTTAGGTTATTTAGAATGAATATAATGACCATGGAAAAGTGTCTTTTTAGGTGATATTGCTACATTTGATGCATGCATGCCAGCAAGTATAGATTGGACAGAATCTACATAAAAGTCAAAGCAACCGACCCATATTAGGAGAGCCCATTTTACTTAGTCATCTCTAACCTTTTACTCAAGGAAGCTGAACAAGTGCTTTGACTATCTACCAGATTAGGTGGATGCCACACTACAGTTACCATGTCATTGTCTTAGAGAAGCTAGTATAACCAGCAGTAGCAACCAGTGTTGAATTGTCTCACTAGCTGTACCTAATCATGTATTAGTTCTAGCTGAGATAGTCAAGAGTAAGTCCAAGCAAAGAAGTCAAGTAACACAACCAATGCTAAATAGGCTGTAGGTTATGGATCCAGAAGGAATTTAACTGATATTGGACTTTAAAAAATTACGAAGCAAAGTTATGTGAAGTACTGAAGTAGCTCAGCTTGTTTAAGCTTTTCTTTTCTTGGTTTTGGCCTTTTGGATTTAAGATGGAAATATGTACTCATGTATCAAGGATTTTAATTTCGAATGATACTGCTCGTAATGGGCAGTATGTACCGGTCCACCAGTAGATCGGTACGCGGATCACCCTCTATCAGGCGGTATCATCGATTGAGGCTGTTTCCGCCCCGTTACCATCCGTAATTGGTCGGTGACGATCGATTTTGATCGTTGCCGCCCGTTACCGTGCAGTATTAGCCGAGGGAGACGGAAGAAAAGGGAGAACCTGGAGATCCGGTGCTGCTTTCCCTCAACGATCCCGATCCGTCGTTGCCCTCCCTCGTCAGACGTCGTAGATAAGAAATCGTCTTCTTATTTGAGGCGACGAGGCCTCGGCGTCGTCGGTGACTTCTCCTCATTCGCGTGGGGAGAAGAAGCCTCGGCGTCGCGAGGAGAAGAAACGAGGCAACGTCACCCTTTTCTTATTTTTTAACTTTATATATATATATATATATATATATATATTGAGTGGTACGTAGAGCGTATGGTATGAAATTACGAACCTTGATTATAAGAGATATGGCAAACATTATTTTTCTAATCAATTGCATCATAACTCATCCTGCATCAACCATCAATCAGGTTTATTGCTTTATTTAATTGATAACTTGTTTTTTAATCCATCATTATGTTTCATTATGCAGAATCAGAAATGTGGACACATTTAGCAAGCATTGAATTAGGTTGCAATATAATAAATAGATCATTTTATTGAATCCTATTCAATTAGCAGTAAAATGTTATTGAGACCACTTAGAAGTAAATGTACATCACCACTGCAGTATTTCACAAAGATTGCATTGATCCATTTGCATTTAACATCAACTTACATTAGGTTCGTTATATAGACCCTATCATTGCTCGTCTCTGATGTATCTTCTCCTTGGACTAGCCTCAGTTTAAGAAGTTCTCAGGAGGGCGGTTGTAGATGGGTACAACAACTTGGGCTCCATGTCTCTGCAATAGGATCGACTTAGTGTTGGTGGATCAAGGTGGATAAAATAGCAGAGTTAACTTATTTTGTCATTATATATACACATATAATATTTTGATTTTAGAAAGCTTTCAATATTGAGTTAATAGTTGGGGCAGCCAATTGCTGGGAAGTTTAGCGATTTCTGTAATTTACAATTTTGCATAGGGTTACTGATGGAAGTAAAGCCAGGCAAAGGTATCTGAAGTTCAAGAAATTAATTTCTGCAAGCGGAAAGCTTGCGAATTAACTTGAAATTTGGATGACATTTTAGTTACTCTATTTATTATTTCAATCAGATGCATACTGTATACATTTCCAGAAGTGATTGATAATTTAACCAGTCCTCCCCCAATATAACTTAATCTACAATTACATATGAAGCATACCAAATTGCAATGTGGCTTTAGTCCTAAAGATGTATCAAGAGCTGTCACCTCGTTGTTTTGCAAAGTAGCAACTAAAGTCATATGTTATCTTAATCTTGCAGGTGTCTTTACAAAATAGGAAAAGTGGCATATCTTGAAGGAGGCAAAGAAAACATGTAAACCCATCTCCAAGGAATCTTCCTATGAAAATGAAGGCTCACTGCCACTGAAAGCCAAGACCTGATTGGAGTTTTCTGCACGCAAAAAATCATTCGGGGCTTGAATCTTGATTAGGAGCACAACATAGGACAGCTGATGAATTCACATAAAATGATTCTTGGGTTCACCACCTTGTGATGTCCAGGAAAGTTAAAAAGAGGATCACAGGTTCACCGTCATGCATATTCCGGTATCAGGCTTCAGGCACTGCAATGGATCCATCAGCATGGAAATGTCCCAAGTACATGATTCGTCCACCATGACAGCTGAGTACGAGGACTTCTTGCCTGTGATGGCAGAGAAGATGAAAGCTCAAGAGTTTGCAACTGAGCTTTGCAATGGGTTACGCCTCCTGGCGGAACTTAACCAGGCTTGACCATGCCCAAGAGCCAGCCTGCGGAGAACCTGTGCCCTTCTTGGGATGGCAGGGACGATGGAGTAAACAAAGGATTTGATCAAGGGGGTATCGACGGCGACGGAGGACTCAAAGAGAGAGTTCTGCATACTGATGGTGTGGCTGTACCCAGAGATGATGGAAGATGCGGTCAAATGGCTTGACAAAGCGATCACCGAAGAGTTGGTTGGTCCATCTGCCTAAATTTAGAGTAGTTTTAGATTGCATGTTCAAGGCATCTTCCTTTCATAAATGACTTTTATGATCTCTGTTCATAATCTGTTCCAAGATTGATTTGGGTTTAGGCTTGGGCATCGTATGGGTCTAATCTTATGTATTACATGCACCAACTTTGTGAAACTTCATTTTGTCCAGTTGAGATTTGGATGATCTTGTCTTAATCTACATCGAAAATTGCTTGGACATCATATAAACCTACACATGCATGTCCCATGCATATACATTGTAAAGAACAAACATATCGTATACATTTGGTTGTCTTCTGAATTGGAAATCATCGATGTTTTTGGAATTGAAATTGAAATTAGCAAATCCTGAGAACTATATATAATAAGGATCGGATTTGTAAATTGATTTGTAAATTTGTAAATATATGTTTGTATGTATGTCTTCACTCCTTATTATAGATTTGTAAATTGATTTGTACAAGACTTTTCATTCGAGTTGATATCATTTTAATGAGACTATATGTGAACATTGCTAGAACCTCAAGTTGGGTGCTACTTTGTCCAAACTCATAATAAATTTCATGAGTTAGATTATTTTGAGTACCCTTTGGCTTATATTTTTGGATGAGTTTGGACAAAGTAGTACCCAAGTTGAGGTTCTAGCAATGTTCATAAGACACCTAACGAGAGAAAATTATAGAATGAATGTTACAAGAAGAAGTTTTCCTAGTAAGTTTTTATTTTCTCGATAAAGGATCTCTCTATTCACAATATACATATCCAAAACATAAACATGCCTCTAGTGTAACCTATCCAGACAAAGTATTAGGTATCTATTATGTTGTTGATAGGGGACCACTTGGTCTGTCTCGGTGCAACCCGTGGGCATATGAGGAGTTGTCCGTTTTGGACGATTTGGATCGAGCGCCAAAGGGTTTGGCCCTTTCGGAGCCATAGAGCTCCAAAAGGAGCCTTTGAGGGTAACCTATCCGGACATAAACATAAACATCAAAGCCTCTAGTGTAACCTATCCGGACAAAGTATTAGGTATCTATTATGTTGTTGATAGGGGACCACTTGGTCTGTCTCGGTGCAGCCTGTGAGCGTGTGAGGAATTGTCCGCTTTGGGCGATTTGGATCGAGCGCCAAAGGGTTTGGCCCTTTCGGAGCCATAGAGCTCCAAAAGGAGCCTCTGAGGGTAAGGGAGGCATGGCTGCCTTATGAGCCCTTGGCTCCCCCACTCCTCAACCGATGTGGAACTAAGTTGGCCCTATCATGTGACCCCCCCTCGCTGGGAGCCAATGGCTCAAGGGGAGAGTCAGGCCGCTCGAGCCCTCCTTCTAGCGCCAATCTGATAGGGTCAACTTAGTCCCACATCAGTTGAGGAGTGGGGGAGCCAAGGGCTCATAAGGCAGCTATGCCTCCCTTACCCTCAAAGGCTCGTTTTGGAGCTCTATGGCTCCGAAAGGGCAAAACCCTTTGGCGCTCGATTCAAATCGTCCAAAGCGGACAATTCCTCACACGCGCACGGGCTGCACCGAGACCGACCAAGTGGTCCCCTATCAGTTGTCATTATGCAAAGCATCTCCTTATACATAATAGATCGTATATGATAAAAGTATCAAAACATTCGATGCGTCATAATTGGGCAAAAGCATCTCCTTGCATATGTGTTCGTCTAAAACATAAGTAATAAAGAGTTCATTGCATCTTTTCGCCTATGATGCATCTACTCAGAATGTAAATATTAAATATGTTAGTCGAGCAAAACATATATCAAAGACGAGCATGAATGAGTCAGATGCATCGTAAACAAGACAAACATATTTTTGCATGTATGTCTCCGCTCCAAGGTATAAATATCAAAACATCACATGAATCTAATGCATTCCTCTTGACAAAGGCACTCTATTTTTTTTTTTTTTTATGTGGGTGATATTCGTGAAGATCTTAAGATAGTTCTTGCATAAGTCATAACCTCGGAGTGCTTAAATAGTTTAGAAACGATAGCATGTCAACTATTTAAATAAATTATTTTATCTTACGTAAGCAACAATGATTATAGAAGAAATTTCTATAAACAGACTTATCTAACTACATTATAATATCTTTTTCATCATATACAAACAAACATTTTACTTGACTATCCGAAGAACTTTTTGTATATGTCCCCATAAAGAAAATATCTGAACGAAGACAGGATAGCCGACTTCTCATCTCAATCATAAAAGAATTTAATCTACATAAAGATAAAGATTTTATTTTTACGCTTACATATAAAGAATTTTTAATCTGAACTGATGTCAAAAGGGGCCAAATTGTCAAGTCCACTTAACTCATACACGATTAGTTTCTTTCTCTCGCCGAGCTGATCCGATCAGCGATTTCGATGCATTGCAAGAATTAATTGATTCCATAATCTATTCGGCTAACAATGATCTGTTCGAGTCTAATTTAGCTGGTTACCAATTATTCACCATTTACCTTGGTATTATATATACTAAGCCATTATATCATGCATCTATCAAATAAAAATTTTAAAATAATAATAATAATATGGTCAATGCCTTGATATTATATGGTTTACACTTTAGCGTGTGTTTGAGTAATTCAAATATTTTCATGTTCCAAATTCGGTACATCATGATCATTGTTAAGCTTCCGAATTTATCATCTTTATTGTTAGAAAAGAGATAGAAAATAAATTACTGAAAAAGCTTGATTGTATTAACGTATCCTCTCCTATTTATACGTTAGGAAAGAGGATTTCCCTCAATAGAATAGAAAGATATCCTCATATAGTTGAGAAAATCTTATCTGCTATCATGCCCCCCCGCAAGATGGTGCTTCCATCAAAAACGCCAATCTTAGACCGATGTAATGCAAAAAGGTGGTGAGCCTCAGGATAAGTCTTATTGTAGTGAGCTTAATAATGGGACTAATTGATTCAATGAAATCCACTCCAGGTCTTTGATGAAACCCTTTAGCGACAAGACGTGCCTTATATCGGACAATAAAGCCATCGGGGTTCCGCTTAACTCGAAAAACTCACACCCGATGATATTTTGTGTATGATGAAATGGTACTAGATCCCATATTGAGTTATGGAGGAGGGCATTATATTCCTCACATATTGTGGTATGCCAATGCGGAGATTTTTGGACTTGAGTGAAGATGGTGGGTTCAACAATGGTGGATAAAGAATCCACGATAGCATGGAGATCAAGGACCTGACGCAATTTAAAAATACCATTCTTAGAGTGTGTGGTCATAAGATGGTTGGAGACTATAGGACCGTAAGGCTGTGTTGTTGGAAGAAATGGTTGAGAATCATTGACACAGGCCGGGTCAAGTGGAGGTACGTTAGGGTCACTTGGCTGAGAAGAAGGTAAAGATAACGATTGTGATCCTAAACCAAGCACCCCAATAGTCGAAGAAGAGAGAAGTGGAGTAGGAATGGGCAATTGTTGAACCAGAGGAGTGGAATAGTATGGATCATGAGAGGAGGAACTGGACGATGTCATAGGAGACTCGTCCGATTGGATCAGAGGTATACCCCAATGAGAACTGGTTAATGAGATGGTCTGCATGGTAGGAGAGGTATGGTTATGAAAAGGAAAGACAAACTCAACAAAAATAACGTGACACGATATAAAAATTTTGTGAGTTTGGAGATTATAGCAACGGAAAGCATTATGTTCAAGAGAGTAACCTATAAAAATGCAAGGATTAGATCATGATGTTAACTTGTGAGAGAACACAACCATGGATAACATAAACAACCAAATACTCTGAGTTTACGAAGATTTAAGGGTTTATGAAATAGTGAGTCAAAGGAGGATTGGTATCGTAGGACTAGCGTAAGCATTCTATTTATAAGGTAGAAGACAGTTTGAAAGGCTACAGTCCAAAAGTTTGAAGGCATGGAAGCCTAATGGAGAAGTGTGTCTAGTTTCTACTATATGCTGATGTTTGCGTTCGGTGGAGCCAACAAGTTGAGGAGTATGCGGGGGAGACTTGAGGTGTTGGATACCACAAGCTGAGAGATAGGACGACATGGTTTGATATTCACCGTCACCATCAGAGTAAATCGTTTTGATGGTAGACTGGAAGTAGTTTTCGATCAACTTTCGAAAAGTGGGAAAGATGATCGAAACGTCATATTTATGGTGAATATGATATAACCATGCATGCTTAGTGAAGTGATCTACAAAAATGACATAAAATCTGAATTTATCAATAGATAGGATTAGGGTAGGGCCCCAAACATCTATATAAATAATTTCAAATGTGGAAATGGAAGAAGGGTCAAATGGTTGTCGATGACTTTTATTACTAAGACATGTATCACAATGCATTATAGAACTATACGATTTAGAAATAGGAAGAGAGAAACTAGAAAATAATTTATGCTGAATAAGGGATGAGGGATGACCAAGATGACAATGCCAAATATCAACTGGAGCCGCAACGGAAGAATGAATAGTGGGCTGGGTTATTTATGAAGCTGACGGCCATTCGTAAATGTTTCCTCTATTCAGGCCCTGGACTAAGGATGCCCCCATGCTCAAGTCCTTAACAAGAAAGGAATCAGGAAAGAATTCAATTGAAGTGTTGCTATTTTTGTAAAACTGAGAAACAAAAATGAGGTTGCATTTAATATTAGGGGCACATAAAATATTATCAAGTGTAAATGTAGTAGTATTAGAAGTAAGCATTGTGGAACCAATATGAGTTATAGAAAGGTCATTATCATTACCGATGATGATATCTTCATCACCACCATAGGGATTATGGAGAGACAAATTCTGAAGATCAAAGATGGTGTGATGGGAGGCGCCAAAGTCCACAATCTAGTTTGGCTGGCTAGTCGTCGGAGTAGTGAGGAGATTTGCCTAAGGCCAGTGTGACAGAGCAGGAAGGCGGAGTCGAGACCGACAAACTTTAGCAAAGTATTAGATTTTATCACATAGTTGATAGACGATTCGTCGTTGTTGGCTTGAAGGGACAGGATGCCAAGGTGGACGAGTATTGGAGTTGCCACTTTTTGAGAAGTTAAGAGGATAAATGGGAACGTTCGGAGGGTACCGAGTATTCTTCCTCTTGAGCTGTGCTAGACGGTCCAAGCAGTTTGTCTGTATGCTTTAAATACATCTCATAGTCAATCAACTTGTTATAGAGTTCTTCAAAGGAGATTGGCGAGTCGCGTGCCTGAATTGTAGTCGTCAACTCCTTGTAGTCGTCTCTAAGACCATTTAGGATATGGATGATGATCTCCTCGTCATATAGGGAATAACCTATCAAAGCCAAGTCATCGATAATAACTTTGATATTTTGTAGATAATCAGTGATAGTACTTCCCTCTTGTTTAATCACCATCAGCTTGGATAGAAGACTGAGCTTACGAATACGTGAATGATTTGCTAAAGTTGTTTGCAGTTTAGACCACGCATCGGCAATAGTCACATATGCAGAAATCAACGGAGCGACGGATCCAGCAACTAAGGCTTGAATAGCTTTGAGGATGAGACAATCTTAACGTAGCCATAGTTTGTGAGCTGGATTAGGTACTAGACTATATTCTCCGGGGATGTTGAGCATAGTTAGCGGACAATTGAAGAAGCCATCAACATAACTTAGCAAGTCGTATCCAAATAAAAGATTAGAAAATTGAGCTCCGTAAAAGAAGAACTCTGCGTCCCTATAGAAATAAGTGAGAAGAGTAGTTGCTGCTGCAGCGAAGATTGTTGCTGTAGCGAAGAGCGGCTGTGGATGCTTGCTGCAACTGCAACTGCAGAAGCTGCTGAAGACTGCTGCAGCAGCGAAGATTGTTGCTGCAGCGAAAATTGCTACGGCTGCAGCTGTAGAAGCTGCTGAAAACTGTTGCTGCAGCAGGAGAAATTTGTGAGAAATCTGCTAAAGCTCCGTCGGCCTCAATGCAGGAAGCGGCAGCAGCAGCAGATACAGCGAAAGCTGCTGCGGCAGAGGAAGCAAGATGCAGCGGTAGATGGAAGCAGCTGCTGCTGCAAGAACTGCAATCGTTCCTACTGCCGCAGGATGGCTGTGCGGTAAGGATGGTGGTAGCGGCACTTCTCGCTCGAGCGAGATACGGGAACGAGGAGGAGAGATCGTTGGCCGGGGAGCAGTTGCGAGGACGGCAGTCACCATGGCAGCGTAGGCGAGGTTGGGAGGTGGTCGAGTGGTCAGCGAGTTCGGACCAACTGCGGTGTTCTGAGAGGCAACGAGTGACGGAGTCGGAGAGGCGGGATAAGAAGCCCACAGGCGCAGGAGGAGAGGTAAACAGCGGCGCTGCCTTTTCCAGTCGAACAGAAAATAGAAGGAGGCGGGGGAGAGGAATCATCGGTCTTCTATAGTGGAGGAAGGAAGTAACACCGATCCTTCCAGCTTCCACACTTAGAAAGCTTCGGTAGAGCTGCCTACATCCGCAAGGGAGAAGACGTCCCTCTCCTATATTTATACAGGTTAAGAGGGAGGATTTCCATTAGAAGATTTCCTTCAACAGAATATAGAGATATCATCGTATATTTGAGAAAATTTTATCGGGTATCATTTATAACTAGCTCATTATAAAATGACTCTTTGGATGTTTCATGATACAAGAAAAGACTAATTAAAGTCTCACAGTTCTTTTCTGACTTAAGTTTTGAAAAGGTCTTGTCGAGAATGGATAATTATAGATTACCCTCTATAGTTAACTATGGTTAGCATCTCAATCCCTATAATTTAAAAAATAGTATTGGGTCCCTATACTTTTGAATGTGAAATATTTAACCTCAATTTTTCTTAAGTCATTAACTTTATTGACAGAGAAAATCATATGTATTGTCACATGCAAAAAGAGCACAAATAAAAATGATAAAAATATCATTTTATTATTTTTTAAATTATTAAATTTATATCTACTTCTTACCCTAATAGAATTTTCTTCCTCTCCTCTTTCTGACATACTTCTTGCTACTCACCCATCGCACCTACAACGCTGGCTACCGTCACACCTGCACCACTCATCACCGTCGTACTTGCACCGCTCGCCATCGTTGCACCGGACCCAACTTGCCCTTCGCCCCATAATCCTCGCCTTGGCTATCGACGGTGTCGTCATCATTAGAGAAGCTTGCTACCTATGTGTCTCCACTTCTGCCATGATACTCCTATCGTTCACCGAGGTCGATAAGTTCTTGAACCTCGTTGGATACAACATCGGCAAGAATCAAGGATCGGAGTGCAATGGCCCCAAGCAATAACAATAATTATGAGAAGAATGAGAACCAGCTATAAAGATAAAGATCCTATTATTGAATTATCGAATGATGAAACTATTGATAAGTGTTTAAATTTTTTTTATATTTTGAGTCGTTATGTTGAATTCATATTTGTTGAATCATAATATATGTTTCATTTTTAAATTAAAAATTTTTAAAAATACCATAATAAAGTATAAATTTTGCTAAAAACATTGTTAAAGTACTAATAGATAATGCAATTCTTACATTTTTTTATCTAAATCTTTCTCAGTATTTGCATATAGATAGAATTTTGATTATGTATAAGATACAAGATTGGTATACTTTAAGGTAACAATTTATTTTTCTCTGATCATTAACAACTTCTGTCAGGCTTTGAAGACAGACTTCTGATGTCGAAGACCTACATTTCAACATGTAGTTGGTGGAACAGTTAGGTTGGGATGGCATAGGTGCTCAACAATGGTTTAGCGAGATGATCTCCGGCTTTCACATGTGGCTAAGAGATGAGAAGCTTATTTACCAAAAGATAAACTTATACCATGTTGTAACATTGGCTGCATTATGACCAATTTGATGTTTTTTCGATAATGCATTGAACAACTACATGTAATAATCAGAAATGAATGATGGATGGATGCTTATGTTGTTATTTTCATGGATCTGTATGCACTATGAAGCTCAAGTCATGACTAAGTGATAGGAAACATGTCTTTGGGTTAGATCTGACTATTATGTTTAATTGCTGAAAATGTAGATTCAGAATTTGTTGGCATGATTTCAATATGATAGATAGTTTCCTGTGGCATGATGTATTTGAAATTGATTGTGTATCACATTATGTGACCATATATCACTGATCGATATGATCAGTGATCCGTGGATGTGCTATTGGCGGCTGTGCGACATTAGGGTTGTATAACTACCAAATTGCCAAAGCACATACAAAATTCTATGATCACCAGTAACAATTCTCTTTGATTCACAATATATTCTAAGACTGGTTGTATACAATCCGAAATGACATCTACAGCTTAACAGTCGCTATATACAGAATAAACAGCATGGTTCAGGCTGCCCTCCTTGTTGGAACATTGTGAAAAGTAGAAAGAAAATATTGTATTATTGTGTGGCTGTCTGATTATAACATATAACAAATTGCTAATACAATTGAAATCTATAAAATAATTTGATGTCATTCCATGGATATAGTCAACATTACAGGAGAAGCAAAAGAAAATAGTAGTGATGGTGGAAAGCCAATCATCCCTAAACATAAACCCTGACGACCTCAGCACCTACTTTCAAGACTGGGCAAGTGATGAGCAAGCAGGTGCGATGGTCGAGCTAGGTTTGTTGTGGCAACGACGAGTGATGCAAGTATGATGGTCGAGTGGTATAGAAATGACAACGGTCAAACGGTGCAGGAGCGGTAATCTAACAATGCGAGTGCAGTGATGACGAATGGTATAAGAGAGACAACGATCGAGAGGTCAGGAGCGACAATGGTCAAGCAGTATAGATGGAGTGGGTACGATGGGCGAGCAATAAATAAATATGTTGAAAAGAGAAGAGGAAGAGAAATCGATTAAGGTGAGAAATGGATATAAATTTAATAATTTAAAAATAATAAAATTTTATTTTTATGTTTTTCATTTGTGCTTTTTTTTTGTGCACGTGATAACACGTGCGATTTTTTTTCGACAACAAAGTTAACGACGCAGACATTTACTCTTATATAGTGCAACTCGCCATGTAGGAACTAACTTGGGACATTGCGGTATAAATGGAGCGAGGAGGTAAGGGGGGGGACACCATCAACCAGCGAATCCAGCAGCCAGAGGCGGAAATGGGCATCCGAGAGATGGAGATCTCGGGCCACAAGCTCATCATCCACGAGCGCGACGACTCCAGCGACCCCTCCACCGGCCGCGCCCTCACCGGCTCCTGGCTCTGGGACGCCGCCATCCACCTCGCCGAGTGGATGGCCGCCGACGGAGGCCCCCACCTTGCCGGCGCCACCGTCCTCGAGCTCGGCGCCGGGACGGGCCTCCCGGGCCTCCTCGCCGCCGCCATGGGCGCGGCCCGCGTGGTGCTCACCGACGTCGCCCCGCTCCTCCCGGGCCTCCGAGCCAGCGCGGAGGCCAACGGGTTGGGGAGCCGCGTGGAGGTGCGCGAGCTGCGGTGGGGCTCGGGCGAGCAAGCGGTGGCGGAGGCCGACGTGGTGCTGATGTCGGACGTGTTCTACGACCCGGAGGAGATGGGAGGGCTGGCCAGCGCGATGAGGGCGGCGTGGGGGGAGAGCACGACGGGGTGGGCGGCGAGCGAGGTGAGGCCCGGCGTCGGGGAGTGCTTGGAGGCGCTGAGGCGGGAGGGGTTCGAGGTGGTGGAGGTGGAAGAGAGGGTGCGGCCGTTGTTGCGGGCGGAGGGAGAGACTTCGGTGTTCGCCGTGTATCGCATCAGGCGCGCTTAAGCAAACAAAGCATGGGGAAGCGTTTCCTCCACATAAATTCCTCCTCCATTTTGCATTGCAAATTAATAGAAAATTAGCTACTTTGTGTCGTAATTAAAGAAAAATCAAACTACTATTTTTAACCACAAGACCCATAAATCAACTAACTTTGATGAAACGATGAAGATGGTAATATATCATTAATCCATTAGTTTCCCATGAAGTTTCTTAGAGAATTACATGAGATTTCGGGGAGGATAAGGATGTGGAACCAATTAGACAAAATAATCAAGTCCAGTAAACCCATAATATATGAAGCTAAAAGTCTAATCCTACTCTGAACGCAAACTTGAAAGCTCCACCCAAAGCCCTCACATGACATACTTATTATAGACCTTAATTATAGATTTAACTATAGTCAAGTCTAATCTAAACACTCGTTAAGCAAAAGACAAACAAGCAAAGTTGAGGTACGAATCTCTCACCAAACCTCCTTTGCTCTTCTTTTTTATGTTGTGTGTCTGTATCTGTGTAATATAATAATAATAATGCCTTTTATACCTGCCGACATATTTATTCTATGCGGTATCTAATTTTGTCACATTGATGAAAACACAGCTATCTATTTGTCTGTATTTTTGGGTGATTATTTGATATTATTGTTTGAAAACATTTTATAGTGTGTGTGATATGAGATCATGAGAAATATCGAGAATAGTGATACAGTCGGGTTCATGCCGTTTGGGCGTGTCACCAAATCCAGAATGCCAGACGACACCCACCAGTCGAGATATCTCTATTTGCTTTGTTGGGATATGTCACTCCATTGGCGTGATGGTGTACAGCTATCTCGCTTTGTCAGTTCGCGGAGAGTTGTTGGCGTTGCCTGAGCGCAGGTCCCCCACAACCCCAGAATAAGATGATGCCCGGTGCATGTTGGCGTTTGTTTGAAGCAGACAGCACCTTATTCTTGTTTGGTAAACAGATTGCAGCGGAGCACTCGAGCTTTGTTTAATGCCGCAGTCAATACTGGCAGAGGTGAAGGGCTGCAGAGTGTAAGCAAGGATTTCTCGAATGCCATTGATGTTTTCTCGACTGGAAGAGGACAGAGACCACCTTTGGCTGACGTAAAATGGCAATTATGGCATAGCTGCTCGAGTACTTTCACATTTGGATGTGCTTCATGCAGTAGATGTGAGTATATAAAGTTCAGGTACAAAGGCTTCATGTCATGCTTCATTCAGGTTGCATGATTCCACAGACAAGGCGTGCAGAATGAGACGAATAGAACTTAGCCAGCTATAAACTAATTGATATCTTCACACACACACACACACACAAAAATAAAAACATTGCCTCATATCTCAAACTTTCAACATTTAATGAATAAATTTGACCAAATACCTTAACCTTTGGTAAATGAACCTGCGATATTTCAGGTAGCCTTGATAAATGAACCAGAAATATCCTTATGTAATCCTTCACACACACACACACACACACACACACACATATATATATATATATATATATATATATATATATATATATATATAGAGAGAGAGAGAGAGAGAGAGAGAGAGAGAGAGAGAGGAATAAGAAAAAATGGTTTACACCATTGAACATTATGGAATCAACTAAAAGAAACAACACAGCCTAAAACTAGTATTTCAGTATACCGTATAATGTTGTGGCAAAGCCAATTGAACATGTTTATCAAAAAAGGTGGCTGCTGAGATGAGATCAACAAGGCAACCCCACAAATGCCTCAAAATATGATAATTATGTTCAGCAAACAAAATTGTTCCGATTTTTCAGTCAGCATATACCAACAGCATTATCCAGAGGAGTTCGCCACTAGGGAGGGAATCTAAAGAGTAGCAATGTGATCGGGTAATGAATTGCAAACAAAAGAACAACTGCATTAGCAAAGGGAATTTTAGTAGGATAGATATGATACAAACAGCATCATTATAAACGAGTGAACCTTTTCTTGCTAAGTAAACAATTGAAATATGATGAGAACTGAATCATTATTGAAAGCTGTACAGAAATATAGATGACCTAGAATCTGGTGGAAAAATTGCATGAAGTAATTGAGGCATTTATATTAAGAACATAAGAACCTAGAGGGGTCAAAAGAGAATATCCTGTTGGGTGAAAACATATCAGCTGAAGATAATAAAAAAAATTAAAGATGATGCAGACTTGAAGCAGAGTGACTACAGCTTCTGGGTGAAGAAATATTGTGTCTAAATCATAACATAATTTCACAGGAAACAGAATCTTGTACCTTGTAATTTACTGGAAATGACCTAGGAGTCCTGTGATTCTGATTGGTTGCCAACAATTCGAGACATAAGCTTTGAGATCTCCAAGATAGCGTTGTGGACCTCCTCATCATCTGGCTCTGCTTGCATAGACCATGGAGGTGATTGTGAACCCAATCTGCTCATACCAGTGGCCTTCTTCACCTTTCTAGATGTCACTAATGCTCTCTCCAAGTCAGGCTGTCTTAATGGTCTTGGTCCCTGACAAAAGCAATTAAAGATATCATGTGAATGATACACATCTTATGTAACATTGGAAACTGATTACAATTTCAACATTGGCTATAATCTTTTTGATCTCCAACAATTATTCTGGATCAACCAGTTCTATAAAGCACCTAACACTATAAAGATGTAGCAATATTGTTCAGAATCCAAAATTTTTTTCCCAGGAAAATCTCCAATCACGGTTTCTTATATGAATATCATAAAATACAATCGGTAATAACCATAGATAGGGATGTTCAAATCAGTTCAAACCAAACCGTTAAGGGCCGAACCGAACCGTTTATTTTTATGCAGTTCAGTTAATAAGATAGTGCGAACCGAAACCAATTCGGATCTACCTAACCGAACCGATTCAAAACCGGTTAATCCAATTCGGTTAACCGGTTTATAATTTCAAGTAATTTTAAAAAAAAAATATATTTCAGATGAGTTGATTCAGTTCAATTAAATCGAACCGGAATCTTGGTCTAATTAGACGACACGACAATATTTGTGAAAGTGAGCCTACGTTATTTGTAAAATTAGGCAATTGGGCTAGTTTGATTAATCAGTTTGAACCAGTTAAGAGCTTAGGGCAGTGAACTCAAACGGATTGATATCTTTAAAGTTAAAAATTGGTTCAGTTCGGTTTGAACCGGTTAATCGAACCAAAAAGGGGCACCCTCGAACCAGAACGGTTTATAGCCTTCAAAACCGAATCATTTGTGAACTAGTTCAATTTTTTTATTCGATTTGAACACCCCTAATCATAGAACACGATGATATACATCAAGGTTCGCTGTACCGCCGTGCACCACCCAGTACAGGTGATACATACTAGTCCAATAAAAGATCGGTATGGGTGATACATACCAGTCTATCGGTACATCTCATCATACCATGTGTTAGTATATCGGCACACATCGTACCGACGACCAATCGATGCACCGGTGCGGACCAATAAAGCGAACCATGATATACATAACCCTATATGGGAGGACATAGTAACAAAAGATGCACCTTAGAATAAAATGAGTTACTCAAGCAAGTTGCACCACCAAGGACCACTAGTGCACCAACAAGGAGAGTGGGTCAGTTCAAATTCAAGACCTCAAAAAGAGAAGAGGAAGACAAATAAAGGTTGAAACCAGCATGGATAACACTGTGAACATAGCCTTAGTTAGAACTATAATGGCCTAAAAATCCATGTTTAGAACAGTGACTTGGGCGGAATGGGTTACATCAAGAGATAAAACCAACTCAACATGATCCAGCATTTATATTTTTCTTTCCTAACACTTGCAATCTTGAGTTGGGTTATTGTTGCATGTAATGAAGATACAGTAGTTAAAACTTATAACTACCTACAAAAAAGGATTCCTGTTGGGCTGAGGTCAAGATGGTTTATTGTTTGACTTAGACGACTTAGAGTCAGGTTGGACATTCCCAATCCCGACCATTCCCAGATCAGGTTTAATTTCTGCCAGGTTTGGGGTTGATACCCTGTCCAAGTTGATCAAATTGTAAATGGCTCCTGATAAACATACATAAAAAGAACATGAGAAATATTAGGCTAAGTTTATGAAGATTTGAATCTGGGTTATCTAAATCATTTTACAATAAAAAATAGCTAGATTGATATATAAATGCAGTATACTCACACTGGATGCTTTTCCATTCCTTTCGTCATTCAGCAGCTCCCTGAGAGGAAAATAGGCTGCTTGTTTGCACAGCTCAAGTATATCTGAACCACTAAAACCTTCACATAAGGTTGCTATGTAGTCATAATCAATGTTTTCTTCCACATTTTCACCCTTTAAGATCACCTTTAGTATCTTGGCTCTCTCACTTCGGTCAGGCATGCCAATTTCAAAGGTCTGGGTAAAGCGCCTGAGGATTGCCTCATCTAGTTCTGATGGGCGATTTGTAGCAGCAAGAACCATCACACGAGCATTCACTGTAAAATTGATGCACAATAGTTTTAATATGAATGTCTGGAAACTGATGTAGACACAAACGGAAGTCTGATACATCTTTTACTTGTAGTAACTGAAACAATAAATTAATAAACAGAAGAATGGAATAAAAAACCATTTTCTTGCAGTAATGTCAAAATATGAAATAGTACGTGCAGAAATCATATTTAGTATAGTACAGCATCCTTACTTTTTAAATAAGAACCCTTCTGGACTCCTATTCATCACTTCTTTTTTAGACAAAGTACCACTAGGTGTTGGTTACATTTAAAAGCCTGTTTAAGTGAGTTTAGGCAATGCAAGCTGGGAAAAGAGGGTAGTTTATCCTTGAGCCTGGAAAAAGAAAAATATGATCTTAAAAGTTTGGTCTTGAGCCTGAAAAGAGCATGAGATTATTATTAACTCCAAGAAAAATTGTCCAATCTGAGGATGACATGGACCTTTGATGCTATTCGCTCACTTTAACTTGTATCCATTGTTGGCAAAAAATTTAGCAACAGATACAACCTTCCTATATGAAATAATCAACAATGATAAATGGATATAATAGAGGGTTAGAAACTCCATCTCAATAGACTTTCTTAATTAGTGATAACAGAAGATCAGAATGACGGGAACATGGCGCTGTCTTCTTTCAAGATCCAACCTTATGACAATGAGAACCACAACTTTAACACACATGATAATTATCTTTGCTTCACTGAGGGATAGCAGAGAACATAGACAATTAAAGATACTCTTATCTCAATGGACTTTGTCAATCGATGACAATAAAAAAAATTTCGACAATGGGAATACTATGCTTTCTTCTGTCACGCTCCAACCTCATGACAATGAGAGTCGTTTAACACAGATGATATCAACATCTACCTGTGAGTACATAGAGATGTATAAAGAAAGCCCTCTCACGGGTGTGGATCACCAATAATCTTTTATAAGTATTATTTACATATCAGAAAGAAAATAAGATGCTTCTGACTTCAAATAGGAACCTAAGCGTGTGTTTTGTTTGGTAAAGACTGATCAAGAATAGCTTTCGGGGACAATTGTTATACAGGTTTCATTTTGCAGCAGACCCAAGATAGTGAAAAACAGCAATCCAAAATTTTAGAAAGAAATATCAACTTATTGTTTTCTGATGTCTTTGCTCAAAGGATAAGAAAAGCTTTTTCAGTTTTCCTAAGTCTTCTTCATCAAACCTTCAGAAAAAGAATAGCTTTTAGCATTTATTGCATTCCACAAATAAGGAAAGGGAATCAAAATCATTTTGCTTATCCTAAAATAAAAAAAACATAAGATTTATTTCTCAGGGCATCTTTTATCTTGTGATCAACCAGGCACTAAGTTAAAAAAATCAACTATTGTTCCATGAAGCAAGTACAAAATAATATAGAGTTTTCAACCACATTCTTTGCTAGCAAAAGAGTTCTCTACTGCTCTTTTACACACCAAAAAAAACTATACTCAATAAATGTCTGAATCAAATTCAATTAGCAGATGTGTGTGCAGAGTCTCCATTAACATATAATTATTATTTTCTGTAGTATCACAAAATTACTACTAATAAACCTGACAAACATCATACAAACTAGAAACATATAGCTACATTCACCAGAACAACAATAAAAAAAATCAAGAGAAAATTCAGTACCATATGCCAACAACCTGGGAACCACCACGCAAATTAGATTCTTATAAAAACATATAGCTACATGCAGCAGAATAACAAAAAATCATTCATAAGAAGAAGCACGTCATGTACATGCTCATTCAACAATGCACACTCACATTTGCTAGAAGGCTGTATTGATAGCATAAAGGGCCTTCTTGCCCTCGGGTTGGATATCATAAAAGAAGAAAGTATATTAGGTGTATGACAAACCAAAACTGGAAACAGATTTTGCTGATTAAGAGCAAGCCACATAAGCAAGGAAATACGACATACATCCAGACAATAAAGAGAGCCAAGAAAATGGAATACTCACAATCAGTTGTGAAACCATCCCACAAAGACATGAACTCAGTTTTCATGTTAGTCATGGCTTCATGATCTGTATTCCGGCGCTGACCCAAGAAACTATCCACCTCATCAATAAAAATGATAGCAGGTTGTAGCTTATAAGCAAGGCTAAAGACAGCAGCCACTGCAACAGAACAAGTGAGATATTATGCAAAATGCTTCTAAACAAAAAAATAAAAGTAACTGACATGTATGGTGATATACAGCAAAATTTTAAAACACGATAGCATGTGTAGCTAATGCCTAATTTCAGCATGATACATAGTGACAACAAATCCTAGTTCCAAATTAAAAGAATTTTCGGGTTCCTTCATCCAATGAATATCTCAATGGTACCAACTTTTCACAAGAAGATCACACAAGAGAATGACATGAACAACCTCAAAGAGCAGGTTTTCTGTTTTCCAGACATGTTAAGAATAGCATTACCTGAAATACTTTGTGCACTACCAATTATAAATATGGAACTTGTTTTCATAGTATCTATTTATAAAGCTCTCGTTATATTTATAAGTTTCAAGACAATAATTCACAAAGGTCAACTAAAGAAGACACCTCTACATCAATAATGATATTGATATATTTATAGGTTATCAAGCACACAAGCAACAGGAGAAAAAAAATTCTTTTAAACTGTTACTTATTTTGTCAAAGTCTTTACCAGCTATGGTAGACGACACCTTCATAAAACTCTTGTTATTTGCACAAGTTTTAAGACAATAATTCACAAGGGTCAACGAAAGAAGACACCTCAAATTCAATAATGAGAATGATATATTTATAGGTCATCAAGCACACAAGCAACAGGAAAAACAAAAATCTTTTAAAGAATTACTTATATTGAATCATTATAAATAATATCTTCAAAAGATTTTATCCCTCTATAAACATCCAAACTCCAAAGAAGCTTGTACATTTTTGCAATTCACATCAAGAAATGAGAGGCCTTTAATCTTCATTCTTTATAGGCTCATTTCAGATGGTGACCATATTAGCATAGCACTTATGGACTCTTCTTACCTATCAGAAAGAAGAAATCAATTACTCACTTAACGAAATTAGTGCAACAATTTGTGTCTCACCAATACTAAACCATAAAAAAAAAATTGCCTCTTTGATAACAGAAATAGCAGATATCATCTCAACCCTATTCTAACAATGAATTTAAACATATGATATGACAAGAATTTGAATAAGGTCAATTACCTTGAACATACTTACATTTCATTTTAAATTAAATGAAACAAAAGAAAAATAACAATAATTTTCTTGAACATGAAGAAAAGCAAGTAGTTTAGTAATCGTAACAACCGAGTATACTAATAAATCTATGAAAATAAGCAAAATTAGCCCTCTGTTATGTATCATAAAAACAAACTTACCAAGTTTTTGAGCATCCCCAAACCATTTACTCATCAAATTCGAGATTCTCACATTAATAAAAACTGCCCCAGACTCTTTCGCTAAGGCCTTTGCGAGCATTGTCTTTCCTGTTCCTGGTGGCCCATACAGTAGGACACCTTTTTGAGGACTAAGAAGCTTTCCATGTGAAAACAATTCAGGTCTACGTAGGGGGAGAATGACTAGCTCAAACAAAGCTTGCTTCACATGCTCCAAACCCCCAATAGACTCAAATTCAACATCAATGTGATCAGGGTTTATAACATCGCAAGCTATTACATCCTGCAAATGCATTTACACATTATCATTAAGACATTGTTGAGTTACCTACAAATTGATTCCAAACAAAATGTAGAATTAAAAAATCATGTCCAAAAGCAAAAATCTTTACTAAAAATGAAGGTTACCCATATCCGTAAAACAAATTTAGAAGATGGAGGATGTCACCAAGTATATTATTATCTTCATCTATAAACTTAAATTTTACATACCTTGTACCATCCCAGAGCATAGTAGTTTCAGTGTTTAACAAGACAATTTCACACTATATCTGAGGGAGAATGAAACATTGCATACAAGACTGCATCACACCAAAAAAAAAAAGAAAACAAATTTTGGAAATCCTGAAGAAACTAAATCTGGAAGATGAAATTTACATGATAGTGTGAGTATATTTTGCTGGTATCTAACTATAGTAAATTATGATATATGTGATACCAATATTAATCTAACTATTTGAAATGTAGAATCACACTGATTTTTCCAAGAGCTAATATATGATTTGCCATGCTAAGATATGACTTCAGACATGACACAACCATGCTGATCACATAGATGAATCCTGCTGTGTCATGCCCATGTGCCTTATGCAATAGATGGTAACTAGCACAGCTGCATATGTATGCAGCTCTATGAGGTGCGCATATTTCTCCAGTACATGCAATTTGACTGCATAACTTAATGCTGTGTGCCATCAATTTGATACATGTTTGTTAACAAGCTCAAATCTTAATAGAAACAACCAAGAAAAGGTCAGGAAGGGAAACCGATCTAACAAAATCCTCAATTGCCATAGGTAGGAATTAATGCAGGACAGATTGATTGCCTCAAAGGAAAAAATCATGGCACAGATTTGATTGCCATAACTTGGGATGATGCTTTGTGACAACATTTCTCATTTTTCATCAAGGGCCACATTAGAATGTTCAGGAGATACCAAGCACTTAAATAAAAAAAAATCAAAAAAAATAATGACATCTTCGAACTTGCACCGAGTTAGACTCTATGCATCATTATTTGGTAAATGCCTAGGAATCGACAAAGACAAGAAGGGAAGAAACATAACCACTCTATAATTAGCTCTCATGAGCTATGGATTATGCTACACGGTAAGAAATTCAGAAGTACAAATATAATCCGGTCAAAGAAATTATGTAACAATGTTTATAAGAATAACAAGTGTACTGCTTCACGCTAAGCAAAAGTAGAAAAGACTGACAGGAGGGTAAAGAGGAACAGGATGCTGTCAGTCCGTGCTCAAATGAATTGATCTTGTGTACAATATGTGATCAATTCCATTTCCAAGTGAAATTGAGATCAACCTAACTAAAATCAAACAATAACTTAGCTTAACCAAAAAAGCTCTAGGATGTCATGGGTCCCTTACTAACCCTGGCCATGTATTTTCTTAGAAACTTTTCAAGGTAATCAATGCCTTATCTGAAACCACATGAAAATTGCGTACATACTCTAATACATAAAAAAGGCTTTGAGAAAGGAAGCTACAACCATGATATCTATGAGATGTATTAACCAATTTAAAACTTTGAGCCTATTGCAGTGTGTTAACTATGGAAGTCCACGAAAGGCAAGATAGTTCATATTTATCTATAATTGATGAATGACTATGCAATGTTTGCTAGTACTTTATGTAGGTTATAGCATCAATAATATTAGTTTTTAGTTAAATTAATCCCTTGGGAGGTTTGTCTTCCATGAAACAGAGAAGTGCTTGTAGGAGGCATAGTTCTAAGCCAATACTAAATCAGGGCTAATACAAAACTAAGCTGCAAAAGTGTTACAAAGCAAAATATTCTGTACTTTATGGAGTTTCATAAATAAAAAAGACTGCAGAGTTTAATCTCTTTGTTTCAACCTTGACCTACGGGTTAATCATAATAAAAGACCATATTTATAAACATCATGGAACATGGTGTCATCATTAGAAAAAACAGGGATTGGCCAGATAAGAAGAACATCAAAGCAGGGATGTCAAGTTACTGTACATTATCGATCACGGGAACAACAATTATTGATCAAACATGTATCAATGAAATGTGTCAACATGCATACACTATTCGTCAAATAATTAACAGAAGACAGACTGAATTAGAAATGGAGTACTCAAAATCATCTTGTTGGAACCCAATTCAATATAAAACCTAGGAGAAAAAAGGGATCGCAGACAAATTTCAATATCAGCTACTCAGAATAAAAACAAATTGGAAATTGTCTCCCCCAAAACAAACCCTAGGCATCACTATGTCAGTTAACTGCATTCAATAATACACGGAAACCTGCATCCGGAGACCTAAAACCCAGAACGCCATAGAAAGAACCGACCGTGAGGGGTCACGGGGCATGTAGAAATCAAGAAGAAGAGGAAAGGAGAAAGGGAGGCGAGATGAAGACCTCGTACTGGTTGGTCTGAACGAGGGGCCGTCCCAGGCGCTTGGCGATCTCCTTCTTGTTTTCGAGGGCTTTCTTGCTTGCGGCGCGGTTGGGGTCGAGCTGGCGCAGCCCGGCGAAGAGGACGAGGCAGCTCAGCGCAGCGCTCGCTGCGTACAGCACCAGTTCCTGCAGGAACCTCGACTCCGATGGTCTCATGTCCTTCCCTCCCTCCTCTTTCTCTTCCGCCCTCTCCCGAGAATCCGTTCGCAAGCCCTACACCTCCGGTTTAACGACTTTGCTGCTGCCCTTTTCACTCCTCTCATTACATAGTTACATATACACATTAATTATATATATATATATATACACATTATATATATATATATATATATATATAT